TCAATAGAAATAGACTGACAACATTTTTTTTTTCTGTTTTTTAAATTTACATAATGAAATTTAGTTACGGCGTTAACCAGCATAGTACCTCATACAAAACTAACAGCTGTCCACCAAGTAGTAATATTTTAATTTTTTATTGTTTTCCCTTGAATAAAAGATAAAACACAAAAGTAAAAACACTAACGTTTGAAATGAATACTAGTTCAAGCCATTTTCAGGTAATTTTTAATTGTATAAAGTTATGAATCCACTCAATCACGACAAGTGGATAATATTTGTTATCCTCGTTGTACCCACTTTAAAATGTCGATGCTTTAGGAAAATTCCTTCGAAAAGAATGGAAGACTTAAAAAGTTTCTCATGCAAATTCTTTCCCAAAATGTGAAGAAGCTGGCATTCTTCAATGAAAATATACCCCTATTGTAGTTTCCATGGAAACGATCTGCGTGGCGAAATCCCAGTGAACACAGATTTACCTCACAACCACCTCGCCATTTGAAAATTAAGACCTTGTGGAATGTGTTCTTCTTAATGTGTAATATTTACCCCCTTTGTTCATTGATTCATTGCTTTTGGCAGAAACGGTTGGCATTTATATTTTCATGTTCTTCAAAAAAGAAAATTACCATTAAAGTACACTTTGCCGGTGAAATTAAAAGATAAAACATCAAATAGAAAGAAAGGCCGTAAATAACGAGACAGAAGTCAATTTTATTTTGACATTGTTTCAAGAAAAATTAGTTCTTACACCTCCCTTTTTTCAAACATTCTCTTCATAAATCTTTGAAACACCTGCTTTCTTCGTCACACCACTGCATTTACATTTAACAAAGGAATGCATCACACGATAATTTGATTTTATCAACTGAGATGATAATGGAAATTGGCTTTAGTAAAGAGTTTCTAAAGCTAACGTTTCGAACATGGGCTTTTGGCGCTGATAAAGGATAATTATGTTTCATCAACTCAGTTGATAAAACCAAATGATCTTTCAATAAATAGATGCTCATTATTTCACCTCACCATGTAAAAAATCATAATACTGGCGAGGATAAAACGACAATTGATTGAAAATTTTTTCATGGTTGAAAAACGTATCAAGAGACAGATTTAATAGTTAAAAGTCATGTTTTTGGATAAGCTAGCCATTGAAGACATCACAAAGTTTAAGGAATGAAACTTGACCACTATCCCTGAATTCCATCCAGCCAGAGACAATTTCGAAGTTTAAGCAGAGCTGAACGCTTGATATTGGTCAGTAAATTCTTCACTGAATCAGTTTCACTGCTCGTTCTTAGCATTGATGTAGTTGTTGACAGTAAACTACAATTTCTTAACTCAGTCGAACGTTTAGTAACTGATTTACAAATGTTTCAAACATCTCAATAATGCTAAAATATTTTCTGTTGAAAAGAACTAATGGCACGTAGTTCACTGGAGACATCTCGTCACTACGTTTTCAGGAAAGCTTGTAACCATTATATAAGTAGTTTTCAAGAAATCTCTCCTTTCTCTCTGAGAGTGTTAAAATGAAGTGAAGTCATGCCGCGATCTCAACTAGAAACTGAGTTAAACGCAAGATAGCTTGGTTTTATTTTCTTCTCAGTGCCTGAGCGGGTGATATTCTGCATATCCTGTCATCTCATTGGTTCCGAGAGCGAGTCGCCTAATGCATTCCTAGCTTCATTACAATTTTTCATAAATATATAGACAGCTTTCGGTGACAGAATATCACGCGTCTGGTTCTTAATGAAAATAGTTTTGGTTTGACTGAAGGTATAAGAACAACTTAGACAATCGGCACGTACTTGAAATATAGCAGTCGTGGCTCATTGATCAGTCAAACTCAAAGCAGACCTTATTTTAACAATGATTTCTTTCGCACTTATTTAAAACTACATGCGTAGCAATCAACGAGGCCCTTTATATAACCACTTACACTTTCACTGCACAGCCCCATAATGCAATAAATTTGGTAACTTCTTAAGCCGAGAAAATTTGGTCGTGATTTCAACGCACGTTGGTGAGTGCAAGAACTATTTTTAACATGCCCAACGAGCTGCTTTGAGCGCGCGTGAATTCTTATAATAGCAAGGGGAGAGAAAAAGGAGAAATCTACACTCAACTCAAGAAAATTTTAGAATGGTGGGTTTGTACTTCTCTCATCTCCCATGGAGATGATAATTCAAAGGTTTTCAATTTTCTCACATAAAAACGTAACTCTAATACCTCTTGAGTGCTTCAAATTTAAATCTGGCTATAAGACTAACTTACCTTGCTGGTCACTTTTCATGTGTTGTTTAAGTTTTAAGTTTAAGTTTTAAGCAGTTGCAGTTTCATAAATATTTGATGCTAATTGTCAATGTGGGGAGTCCCTCTTGAGAGACTCTTTGGAGGCATAAATGAATAAATAACGAAGCTTTAATTTGATACTCTCATTTCAGTTTAAATTCTAAAGCAGGCTTAGTTTTTCCAAAAGCTACTGGCACCGTGAAAAAGACCAAGGGTTTTCGATCTAGCAATGTATTTACATGTCAAAGTTGTCTGCTAAATTCGTCACTATTCGCGAGAATCGATACGCTTTTTTTAATTTGGGCAATGATTCATAACAGTTTATGTATTGTATTTTGTTATGTATATTTAAATGCCTAGGTTCAGCTCACGTTTTTTTCGATACTGCTTAATAGGATAAAACAGAAGGGTATTCATTCATACTTGACGGAAATTATAGGCATATTTTGATTTTTGAGCTTTCGGTGCGACAAAAAAATCGCCTTTTATTTTATTTTTCATATTTCCTTAGCAACGAAATTTATTTTGGCTGTATCTTCACGTTGGGGTATAGAAACCAATCGCTCAAGATTCTTTTTATTAATAATGTAGACATCCTTGAGTGTGAAAACAATATTCCGTTGAAAAGCTGTTAAGATATCGTCAGAGAGAAGGAAAACGTATCAGACTTAGTTACAAAATAAAAAGGGCAGACAGCTGAAGTAATTAAAGGTTAGTTGGATGTCCCTTTTTGCACTAAAATTTCTAGGTGCATGTTAAATGTAGTAATATTTTGGCTTAATTCAGATTGTGGGGTAATCGAAATGGGTTATTTTAGCTTTCAGGACAGACAGGAAAGAAACTATTTTAACACCGGTTAATTTCAAACAATTAAAACCTGTTTATGGCGCAAATAACCTCATTGAAAGTGAAAAGAAATTCATTGATAGCGCTCTTATTTAACTTGTAATGCAGAGGCATTCGAAGTAGTTTACGCATTATAATAAAAATAGAAATTTCATAGATAGCCGTAAATGTTTTGCAATGGGATGAAATTAAACAGTGCATTGCAGAAAAATAGAGACGTGCATTTGTTCTTGCGTGTATGAGAGGCATTTAACGATCAGAGAGTGATCTTTCGTCTTAGAAAAGCTTGAAAAAGAGCGGAGTTGCACTGTGAAGTATTTCTAAGGAAATACATACTCAGTCCTCCACACGAAAGTTCATTCAAATCACCAAAAGCAATTAAGTTTTTCCAAAGAAAAACCACAACATACAGAAAATGATTCATCGTGAGTCCAGTCTGCGCGGTTAAATAACCTCTATTTTGGGAACTCATAAGAAGGTGTTCTGAATTTTGTAGAACGCTTCCGGTATGCTCTAAAAAACTCACAAACATTCAGTGTCTCCCACTTAGAAGTTTTAAGCCGAAAATGGCTGGCGATAATTTAAAATGCCGACACATGGCGATTTACTGAGAATTTCGTAAACGCATTTATTAATCCGAACGGGAAAATTTACTCATAGTACAGACTTGTAATCAAAAATCACTGAATCATCTGAGTCATCAGAATGTCGGTAGCTGGGGTATTGTTCACTATCAGGCAGTTGAGATAATTGACGGTTGTTGCAAAGATTGCGAGTTTTCAGCAATACTTGCATGTTATCTCAATTGGGAAAAATTCCACAGCAGCTCAGGGAGATTTGTTCCTTAGCTACGCAATATATAGCTACAGTGCAGCAATAGATCTCTTTCTCCAGCTCTATGAAACAAAATCATTCCATTCAAAGAATTGTCTAGAGTCCTCCTCAATTCCTGAAACTGATTTTCTTGACTATTGCGGTATTGCTCAATTCAAGGCAAATGTTTCCAGCTCTGTATTTCTTTTACTTTTCATCACTTATCCCTCTGCTAATGGCGGCTGGCCCCCAGCGTAACCCAGCTGAGCAATCTGTGGGTGGAAAGGTTCTCAAGGGTCACACCTGTAAAACAAAAAGGGTTCAAGACACGTATGAATGTCTGGTGTTTTGCAACAACGAAGTCGCATGTGAGAGCTACAATTACGTCACAACTGGTAAAATATGTGAGCTGAATGACTGAACTAACGAAAAGTAACCTGACGATTTTGTCCAAGATGAAACTACGTTTTACTTGGGAAAGTGGAAAACAGAGGTAGGCACATATCAGTACTTGAACCAATTCACCTCACGCAATTATTTTAAATACCTAAGACCATGCAAATAGCTATGAACGTGTTATGCCGTATGTTTGAGGTAATACATCACAGAATAGCTCAAGGTCCTAACAGGTGAGGGTGCTTGATGTGCAATAGCTATAGGTCCTTTATATCTTCAGGTAACGTCACACAATAGTTATGCCTTAATTGCTGAAAGGGATGCATCACAAAATAGTTGTAAATCTGTACAGCTGAAAGTCGATATGGGAGCGCTACACACTATCTGTGTAATTGCAACGCAAGGGAAGAAAAATGGGTCACTCGTCAAAAGCTACAAGCTTTCTTTCTCCACCGATGAAAGCAGTTGGATCGTATATCAGGAACAAAACATTGACAAGGTTTGAAATAATTCTACTTTAATCTCCTCTAGCAAGAATACGCACTTGACGAACGCAGTGAAACCAGTAGGGACGGCGTAAGTTGACCCGCATATGGTGAGGGACTTTTGGATGTTTCTAGCGTTATTTTGCAGGTAGATGTCATGTTGCCCTAGATAACTCCCAAACGTTGGTCCATAACTACTGCAGCTGTAGATTGCATATCCCTGATACCATTACTGAGCTACTTTAACAGGTTTGTAACCATGCACCTTGTACAGGGAGAAAATGAAGGCTTTGGCAGCCGCTGTATACCCACAAGAACCTGCAGCCAGAGAAATCTGTTAGAGGAAAGCCTAATTATATAAGAAGGTCGACAATGTGTCTTGAGGGTCATTGCAGTTTACTCATGTAGCGATAATTCTCCTCCCCAATCCCCTCCATCTTTTCCAGGAGTATTAACTTCGGTCATTGCGTCTTTCTGAACTGTAAATAACTAATAACTTAGGTTTTTTTTTCATCTTGAAATTGATCGGAATTCACTTCCTTTGTCTTCTTCGTAATTGCTTCGATAGTAATATGTCAAAGATTGTTTGTTGTGAAACTCTTTTACTTCAAGCTGTACATAATTTTCCTCTGTTTGCATCGGCCATTAAAGAGTGCTTCAGGTCTGAAAAGACTTTTAATCTTAGCTCTTGTTGTTGCGTCAATCGCATTTTAGAAATCTCCTCGCCATAAGATTTTATAACAGAGACGCAATCACTCGAGCTTCCACCAAAGCTGCCGAATTCTTAAAATTTAGATTTTGCTAAACTCTACCTTTCCTTGTCGGGCCTCTTCTTGGCCTTTAGTTTTCGGACTCCATCCCATGTCATCTGCCATTTTGTTTTTAGCTATTTAAAAGGATTTAGGCTGATTGAATAATTATGCTTTTCATGACGAAACATTTCTGATTCCATCAATTTGACATTACTTGACTATGCCTGCCGTCCCACTAGCGCTATATAACAGAGGAAACTACATACCTCTCACAACACCCATAAGTATCTACTAAAGCAGTGGATAGCGTTGAAAATGCGCTCTGCTTGGCTACTCAAACTCCGAATAGCCTTTGCTATTCGCCTCCAAGCAATTTGTGCGGGATTTGCGTATACTAGAACAACTATTCACTGCAGTGTCGGTGGCTGGCAGTGGATATTACCTCGCCGCTTTGCAGCTCGGTTAATATCCACCATTATGATCAATCAAATATTTTTGTTCGCGCGCGATTGGTCTAAAACTATCACATGACCAAATATTTCTCAGATAAACCTGGGGAATATCCGAGGATATCACCCATGTGATATTCACCAATCTTTATACCTTGCGTCCATTGTTATGTCTTTATTAAAAAATTAATTCAAGATGAGAGAGCGCTTTAAGGTTGTTACAGAAAAAGGTAAATATTATTTTATTCATAAAGTTTTCTAAGAAATCAGGCAGCAAACAACAAGCCATTCGTGAACATCTTTTCACGCGCGTTGTAAAATACTTGAAGGATGATAAACACAAGAGCTTCTATTTGGCACGACTGTTCCTCGCTCACAGTTTTCCTGGAGATTCGCTCTAGAGAAATTGTGAGAATCTTAGAACACACAATGCCGGTGGAAAATATCCGTGCATACTTCCGTGCCAAATAGAGGATATTATTTATCTAGCCACATCCTCCCCGGTGAATAATAAGTAACTGACAAGAAATGCATACTTTGCCAGGACACGTCGGTGTGTCCACCAAATGTGTAGTTACTGACTTGAATAATGGAAACAGTGGGTCCCTCTCCATCACATTTCGAATGGAATGTTGTTGAATCCCAGCCATCTGTCTCAGCGTGATAACATTTCATGAATTGGCTCGAGGAAAGGTTGGTCAGGACTGGGTCTAAGTAAGACGAAAGAGTGCCAATGTAGTATTTTGGTGAGTTGTTCAGAATGCTCGATGATGCGAGGCCACCCGTTGGTGAAAAACCACTTTAAAATCTAACGGCACTAAATCTATGAGGTAATTATCCTCCCTGCGATGCAGTTATAGGGGTGGACAAAACTTTTTTTCCGCATTTTTCACGCCTAAAAATTCAAGTAAGCTGTACATATTTGAGTAGCAAAGACTTATAAGGCCGGTCTTTTACGCGAGATCTAACCCAAACTGCGGTTTTACGCAAGAAGTGGGGGTAAGGCTTTATAAGAAGGTTGATTTGATTAAATGAATGTCCTTCCACTCCTAGCTTTCTGCCCTTCTACACTGTTCACAAATATAAACGTTCCGATAAATGGCTCAGCTAAGTTTAGGATTGATTAGGATGCAGTTCTGTTAAACAACGACTTTGTTTAAATAACAGGCTCCCACAGTCGTATTTTGATCTTAAAAAAGAAGAATATGAAATATCGAACATTCTCTACGAAAGAAAGCTTTAACAAAAAAAGGTGAGAAGATCGAGGGTTCATGTCTATTTTTTTGCTGCGTAATTTATCATTTTTTACCACAGCAGCTGGCAAATCAATTATTCATGTTCACTTGAATTCACTGCTGTTCTAGACGGTACTTACGGTCACTCGTGCAAACATATGAACCCACTGTATTGGTGCAGTAGCTATTAGCCTCACAATAGTACAAGTCATTCTCACACTCATCAACGTCTAGAAAGAGGTGAATTGTTTTTTAAAAACGTGGAAAACAACTAAAATAGATATTGTTTTTGTACCTGTACTTCAACCATGTTATACCCGCATATCGTTTCGCTCCTAGTTTCTTTTAATTGTACAGCTAAGATAAAACCAAATTTACTCTGACGTCGAATCCGAGGTCCGCACAATAAGCTACGGACCTCACGAAGAGAGTAAGAAATTCGAGCCGGAAAAAAAGAACAAGGCTCCTTAAAACCGAGAAAACGAGATTAATGAGATATTTACCATGAGACAACGAGATTAGTAAGTTATTTACTAAAACTTTGGGCTCAAATATAGGGTTACTGAGGATTTAATCCAACCAAGTCGTTTAATTTAGAGGTGTGTACTGTGATTGAAGGACTTGTAGTTTTTTTTAATCGCAGCCCACGTACTGTACAACACATGTTGTTAGATTCCATATAATGTTCATTTTTGAAAATCATTGTGAATGCATTCTCTGAAAGACGGTTTTTGTTTACCCGTAGCTTGGGTATACAAAACAAGGCTTCCCGTAAGAAACCAAAAAATTTGACCTGGTCTTCTGACGAAAATATAAGTGTATATGAAGCTTACGCCGGCTTATCTGCCGGTGGAAACAAGCAAAGAAGCAAGCCGATGAAAGTTGACACAGCTTTTAGAAGTTTCCCGCATAGAATAGATTGTTAGATAATACAATTTTTCGAGAATTCTACCTTCGCATTTGTGTCCATTTCCAGTGAATCCTTGCTTACAGGAGCAGTTGAACGATCCCTCGGTATTTGTGGATGTAGAATTGTTTCTGCTCTAGTTGTGGGTATCTCCAGTACATTCATCGATGTGTAAAATGAAGTCGACAGAACGTACCATGATCATGATAATGAGTAACCGGGCTAAAGGGGAATAGAGGTTGCGGTAGATGTGCAAATGAAACAGTCGCGCCTGTTAATCCAGTGTCTAGAATCTCAGGTAATCCTGATGTAAGACGTATTTTATGCCGGCAGATCTGAATGTTCAGGACTACAAATGCAATTGAACGATCCCTTAGTATTTGTAGACGTCGCAGTTGTCCATACTGCAGTTGTGGGTACTTGTAACGCATTCATCGATGTCTGCAATGAAATCAACTGATCGTACCCAATGCTCGTAAAAAAAAGAGGCTTCAACATACAGTGCAACAATTGCAGTAAATACAACTTAATCAGTCCAAAAAATAAATAAAAAAATGTAAGTCATGATAAGGGTTATCAAGTAATGTGTCTTGGAAGAAAAACAAAAAACAAAAAAGGACTCTCAAAATTTTTGTGGACAAGAAGGTCAGGAGGCCATGTATATTTTATCCGCTGAAACGGAAGAGCAATCATACTTTCTCACACCTGCACATAAATTCTCACATCTGCACAGTTGTGTCCATCCCCGCTGAATCCAGGATTACAAAAGCAGTTGAACAATCCCTCTGTATTTGTATGAGTGGCATTGTCCCTGCTGCAGATGTGGGTATCATGAACAAACTCATCTATGTCTGAGATCAAATCAACACAATGATATGCGCCACCATCATTTTAGGGAGAGAATAATAATAAAAAAAATATATATATATATAGAATAATAAATTTTTAAAAAACTGTTCGAAATGACAACAACGCCTGCTGATCAAGTTTAACAAACATAATTCTTTAACTAATGGATCAAAAAGAGTAAAATATTATCTGGATCATCAAACGGACTTCTACCACAGAGAGCAAGATGTTTAGGGTTCTTTCAACGAGAGAACTCGTTATTTGTACAGTTGTGTCCATTCCCACTGAATACAAGTTCACATGTACTCTTTGAAGATCTCTCGGAATTTTTGCAAGTAGCGTTTTCGTTGCTACTGTTAGAGGTATTCTTAACACCTTCGCCGATGTCTGAAATGAACCCCATAAGCTGCTGAGAAATCCGTGATGCACGATGTTGACACAATGTTGAAACGCCTGTGCTTATACAAACGTCATAGGGGCTAAGTGGCGTGAAATGTGATGTGTAAGATTTTACCTCGGCAGATGTGTCCATTACCAGTAAATCCAGGATTGCAAGAACAGTTGAACGACCCCGCGGTGTTTGAACAAGTGGCATTGTCCCTGCTACAGTTGTGGGTATCATTGGCAGATTCATTGATGTCTGAATTGGAATCAGCACACTGTACTCATGACAATGATTACGAAAACCTAAGCTGAAGGGGAAAGAAAGGGGAGAAAGGGCTCCAGTATATGACCATCGTATGTAGAATGACACTATCTCGGCCAGTTGCATAAGTTTATTGGGGTAATAAAACAAAATATCATGCTCTAAATAATGTTCAGTACCTGTGCAGTTGTGTCCGTCACCACTGAATCCAGGTTTACAAATGCACTTGAATGATCCCCTGGTATTGGTGCAGGTGGCTGTTGTGTAGCTGCAGTTATGGCTGTTTTTAGAACACTCGTCAATGTCTGAAATCAAATCAGGACTCTCTTTCAGGTATAGCGATAAAGAATAACAATGAGAAGAGGATGAGTTTATTTAACGAAAGTATACGTATATTTTTTGTACCGACTAGAATTATACATGGGACTCAGGGGCGCTTTTAGTTAGTAAAGAATGTGTGTGTAATTTTTCTGTTTAAGATCATGCTTTGCAGGATTATATCTTTGCATTAATGTATATTGTTACAGTACAATCTAACTGAAAGAAAGAACCCTACAATCCTACAAACTCAACCACTTCATTAAACAACTTGTAATGTTCTTAATGAGGAGCGGGTCCTAAAGGCACCTTACTTAAGCCACTATAGTCTGTACCAAAGTTGTCTCCAAAGTTTCTCGAAATGAACAAGCTTCTACAGTAACTTGGTAACTCCCAGCAGCCTGAGTCCTCATATACATATGCATTTAAAAAGTGTTTTAGAATATTCCGGAAGCTTACAACACAACTATTTTGCTAGTATTACATCATGACTACGTGACATAATAGAATGTTCTAAAACGTTCCATGTCATCACGCATACAAGCATGACTAGGTATTCTATAAATTCCTAGATATTTATCTAACAGTTATTATCCTTAACACCATCCCTGTTGAACCCAGGATTACAAGAGCAGTTGCAAGATCCCTCGGTATTTGTACAACTAGCATTCTCGCCACACACTCATCAACGTTTAAAATTATGTGATGCGTTATGCAATTTGTCAGCATTGTCGAGTGAGGGGCTGCGGAGAGGAAAATTCTTCGCTCAATTTTCCGCGGCGCTAAATGCCTATGATTGGTTGGGATTTTGAAATAGAAAATGGGTGCAACACTTAAGGGAAGTGGGTTCAGTTACTTCCTGCAAATGACCATTTCATTTATCCTTGCCCACGAGAAATATTTAAGATGAGTTAAGTGTTTCGTAGTTGTGCTTTCTTTATTAGATGAAAAACAGCGATCAGTTGTTTACTCAAGGCCGGTGAACAACGTTCTGAATTGACTTAGAAAAATTACTTTCTTTTCTTAATAGAGTTGGGTGTCCTCAAGGTACTCAAAGGACTTTTGTTTTTGGAAAGTGCGTATCTACAAAAGATCCGTAACGTATCTAAAATTATGTAAAAATAACAAATAATGGATAAAAGGTGTTTTGGAGACATGAATATAAAGGGCACCCCTTTAGTTTTCATAAATTGCTAAAAGAGAGAGTAGTGCAATTGCCTTTTAACAACTGGTACCTAAGTTCCGTGGTATACATAGTTCGCTGCTTTTACGAGATCCTTATCATATTCTTTACCCGTTGAGTTGTTTAGTTCACAGTTGTGTGCTTCTGCTCCATTTTCTCCAAAAGAAAAGTTAACACTTGCGCAGTTGTGGTCCAGGTTGCAACAATACTCGGACGTGTCCCTTTCAATCACATTGATGTTTGCTATGGTGTGGTTGACAAGACGTTGTCTCACGAAGGACAAAGTGGGTGGGAATGCCAGTATGCGGCATTCATCAAGAATTCAAGTTGTTTGAATAAAATAAAAAAGCGAAATAGGTCATCAGCTCTAAGGGTCTCAGATGTTGTTAAGCTCGCTGTTGTCTGTGTGTGTGTGTGTGTGTGTGTGTGTGTGGGACCTACATATCGATAATTAAGGCTTTTCGTGCCGAGAAGATTACTAGTAAAGGATTGTCTAAAAACCTTATTTGTCTGACCTAGTTACAAGGCATATTCCTAGGCGCAACTTAAGATCTGCTAATGGCCATCGCCTGTTTGATGTTGAATATAATCTGGGCAAATATGGCTTTCGTTCTTTTTCAGTAGCGACACTACAGTTGTGGAATGACATGCCTCTGGGGATAAGATCTTGTGACAGTCTGAACGATTTCAAGAAAAGACTAAAGACTTATCTTTTTAGGAAAGCGTTTTTAAATTAGTCTTTCATATTTTTTAGTCGTTTTTATATATATTAGCCTTTTGATATTTCAAAATTTTAAGTTTTTATGAATTGGTTGCTTTATATTTTAGCCGTTCAGGTTGAACGTAATTTTTAAATATTCTTATGAACAATACTTGTGATATCTGTAACATTTCAACATTTTTGTAAAGCGCTATTGGACATCGCTGGAAATGGCGATATAAAAATGAAGTATTATTATTATTATTATTATTATTATATTAAAACGTGAAAATGCGAGCGCACAAAAAAAGCCCACAAATCTTTTTTTCAAAGATTTCAAATTGCCAACTCTGTGATATCCCTATCAAATTTTCTAGGAGATTTTAGAGCACATTTTTAGAAAACATGGCTTTACTGAGGCAAATTCTGCTGGTCAGTGCCGCTGTCGACCATAGCAGTCCTCTCGACTTCCCGTCGCAAAAAAGCTTTCCTTTGTTTTTTTTTCCCATAAAAAAGGGTTTAAGACACCTGTCTCAAGAATAGTTTTGTTTTTCTCTAATTGTCTCTTTTCTTGTGTGTCGTTATAAGCTAAAATCGATTTTTTTTGGCCAGACCGCTGCGACTGCAATAATATTACTCTCTTACTACAATATACAAGATTTATTCAGTCATAGTATAGATAAAATATTGAAACTTCACATGCAATCTTATTCATAACAGCGTGATCAGAGGAGAATAATCTCTTCGAAAAATTTTCATTTTAAAAATTCGCCAATCTGCAAGAAAGAATTCTTAAAACTATTGATACGGCATGGAAAAAAAATTTCACACAATTAAACAAACACAAAATGGCTTGATGCCTCAAAACCTCAAGGCTACGTACTGTGAAAAATAACGATACTGGCAATTATCGCGAGTTTTGGACGATATTTACACGCCACTTGGAGATGTATCTTAGCAGCTCAGCGAGACTTCATTTTCACTCAGCTTCGCCATATATAGTTGATAAATCATTAATTCCCATGGGGTATCTAGATCATAACTCCAAGTCCAAGTAACACGCATTCGTTTTTTTCCCTGTCACCTTTTCTCAGTAATTTTGTGAGTATCGAAGTGTTTGGACAGTACATGCAGATGCATAAAAATGTTTCTTCTACCGCTCGCAAAGGATCGTGTTGTTATTGTCACAGCAACTCTATGAATTAGAAAAACACTTGTTTTAATTTCCTTAGTTTCTTGGTTTATAAGGGGGTGGTCATTATTCATCGCTTTCCCCCTAAATTCTCCGATCCGCGGGCGATAAACAATTACAGGTCCTTTGGTCATTAGTGACTGCTGAGATAGAGAGCAGATATGTGCTGTTTCCATTTCTAATTAAAAAATAAAGGTTCTTCATAATGTTGTTACATGAAATGACTTTTATCGTCTTACCACAACAGAGCTCGAAGCGCGCGCTCACTGCATAGCCCCATCACGCAATAAATTTGGTAACTCATAAGCCGGGAAAATTTGGTCGCGTTGTGAACGCACGTTGGTCGGTGCAAGAGCCACTTTTAGCATGCGCAACAAGCTGCCTTGAGCACGCGTGAAGTCTAAAGAGGAGATAGAGGAAAGACTTACATTCAACTCGAGAACTTTCTAGAAGCGTGGATTCATTTAATAATTTTTTTTAAGGTCCCATTTTGACGGGGATGATTATTTCAGAAGCCCAGATGAAAAGGCGGGGGATAGGCTGAAAAAAATAGGAATCTCTGAAGAGCGCCCGGTTATTTTTATCGCTAATATGTCCTTGTCCTGACTAAATCTTCTCACACAAACATGTCATGACCAAGGGCTGGCAAAAGATTTCGCTTTTCTGAGATAAAAACGTAACTTGAATACATGTAAGGTTTACCTCCCGAATGGTGCAAATCTAGTTTAGGCTAAAACACTATTTTACTTTGCAAGTCAGCATATTGTTTCCAAGCTATTCCGGAGCATTTAAATCAACAGAACAACAGCAGTTGCAATTTCATACACATTTGATGGTAATTGTCAATGTGAGCAGTCCCTCTTGAGAGATTTCCCGGAGGTATAAATGAATAAATAACGAAGCTTCCATGAAATACTCTTATTTCAGTTAAAATTCTAGAGCAGGCCTAGAGGCTTTTTGATCTAGCAATGTATTTACATGTCGAAGTTGCATGCTAAATTCTTCACTTTTCGCGAGAATCAAGTACGCTTTTTTAATTTGACTCATCAATGATTCATAACAGTTAATTATTATAGTTTGTTGTATATATTTAGATGATTGGGTTCAGCACACGTTTTTTTTCGATACTGCATAAATTAGGATGGAAAGGGGTATTCATTCAAACTTGACGCAAATTATAGGCATATTTTGAGTCGTTTATGGCATCATTTTTAGTTCAATGTTATTCTGAAGGGCATTGCCTTTCTTGATATCAGTAAAAATTATTTAGCTCTGAAATTTTTTGGGGAGACAAAAGGATCGCCTCTTATTGAATTTTTCATCTTTCGTTAACAAGGGAAGAAATTTATTTTGCCTGTATCTGCACGGTGGGGTATAGAAACCAATCCATCAAGATTCTTTTTATTGATAATGCAAACATCCTTGGGTGTGGAAACAATATTCTGTTGAAAAGCTGTTTAGATATCGTCAAAGAGAAGGAAAACGTATCAGACTTAGTTACAAATAGAAGGAGCAGACAGTTGAAGTCATAATTCAAGGTTAGTTGGATGTGGTTTTTTGCACTGAAATTTCTAGATGCTTCTTAAGTGTTAGGAATATTTCGGTTAGATTCAGATTATCGGGGTAATCGAAATGGGTTATTTTACAATTCAGGAGAAAGAAGAAAGAAACTATTTTAACACTGGTGATTTTCAAATAATCAAAACCTGTTTATGGCGCCAACGACCTCATTGAAAGTAAAAAGAAATTCATTGGCAGCGCTCTTACCTAAATTGTAATGCAGAGGCATTCGAAGTAGTTTACGTATTATAATAAAAATATAAATTTCGTAGATATTTACCGTAAATGTCTTTAAATGGAATAAAGTTAAACAGTGCATTGCGGAAAAATAGAGACGTGCATTTGTTCTTGCATTTAGTAAAGGCATTTAACAATCAGAGAGTAATCTTTCCTGTAAGAAAAGTTTGGAAAAACAGCGGAGTTCCACTGTGCAGTATTTCCAAGGAAGCATACATACCCAGTCTTCCACAAGAAAGTTCATTAAAATCCCCAAAAGCAGTTTAGTTTTTCCAAAGAAAAACAATAGTATACAGAAAATTAATCATCGTGTATCGAATCCGGATTGCACGGTTAGATAACCCCTACTCTGGGGACTCATAAAAAGGTGTTCTGAATTTAGTACAATGCTTCCTGTATGCTCTAAAAAACTCACAAATATTCGGTGTCTCCCAATTAGAAGTTTTAGGTCAGAAATGGTTGGCGCCCAGTTATAATGCCGACACATGGCAGTTTACTGATAATTTCATAAACGCATTTATTGATCCCAAATCCCAAAAAGACCAATTTTTCATAGTACTGACTTGTAATCAAAAATCACTTGAGTCATCAGAATGTCCATAGCAGGGGTATTGTGCACTATCAAGGCAACTGAGATGATTGACGATTATTGGAAAGATTGCGAGTTTTCAGCGATATTTGCTCGTTATATCAATTAGGAAGAATTCCACTGTAGCTTTAGCTATGTGAAACAAAGCATTGTCTAGAGTCCTTATCAATTCCTGAAACTAATTTTCTTAATCATTGCAGCATTCAAAAATTCAAGGCAGATGTTTCCAGCACTGTATTTCTTTTATTTTTCATCACTGATCCCTCTGCTCATGGCTGTTGGTCCCCAGTGTAACAAAGCTGAGCAATCTGTGAGTGGAAAGGCCCTCAAGGGTCACACCTATAAAACAAAAAGGGTGCAAGACCCGTACGAATGTCTGGTGTTTTGTAACAACGAAGTAGCATGTCAGAGCTACAATTATGTCATAACTGGTAAAATATGCGAGCTGAATGACAGAACTAATGAAGAGAAACCTGATGATTTTGTCCACGATGGGACTAGGTTTTACGTGAGAAAGTGGAAAAACAGAGGTAGGCACATATCAGTACTTGAACCAATTCGCGCACGCAGTTATTTTAAATGCCGAAGAAGGTACCGCAGCGTCACGCAAAGGGCCATGCAAATGGCAATGAGTGTGTTATGCTGTATATTTGAGGCAATACATCACGGAATAGCTCTAGGTCCCTAAAAGGTGAGGGTGATAGATGTTCAATAGCTCTAAGTCCTAAAAGGTGAAGGTGACTGATGTACAATAACTATAGGTATCTTCAGGTTACGTCACACAATAGATATGTCTTAATTGCTGAAAGGGGTTCATCACCAAAAAAAAGGTGTAAATCTGTACAGCATTAAGAGGTTTGTCACCAAAGAGCTATCAATTTCTTCCTTCAAATATGTTGTCAGTGATCTTTACCCAGTTGACATATATCGTCAAAACTTTGAGATGATATTCCGTAAATTGATATCATTTTCTTTCTTATCGTCGCCGTGACTTGAAATTATACTGATATCGAGAGGATAAATCCATTTGTTATGACTCCTGGGAGAGAAAGTCGCGAGCTTTTATAGGCAAGATTTATAGACTTCAGCTATGTTTCCATCTGAGATTCGACTCGTCAAAACTTCGCATTTTTTGTATCTCTCAGCAGTTTGTGCCCCCGTAGGAGTAGAAGATCCACATATAATACCTGACGCCCACATTACCGCAAGTTCTTATTTTCTGAGTTATTATGCGCACATGGGACGGCTGAATGGAGTAAAAGGTTGGTGTCAGAAAACTACTACAATCACCGATGACTACATACAAGTTGATATGGGAGCGTTGCACACTGTCTGCGCGATCGCAACGCAAGGAAAGAAAAATGGGTCATTCGTCAAAAGCTACAAGCTGTCCTTCTCTTCTGATGAAAGCAGCTGGAGTGTATATCAGGAACAAAACATTGACAAGGTTTGAAATAATACTACTTTAATCTTTTCTTGCCTGTTTTATTTATAAATTTTTTTTAAAATAGGTGTGCTAATCGTCCTAATAGGATGAATTTACGACAGTCACATGTCAGCTTTTGGGGTATAAATCGCGAGAAAAAAAGGCTCTTTGATGTTATCGAAGATGATTATAAAATACTTAATATCCTACAGTATTGGACGAGACACGTGTCAGTCATTTCATGGTAATAATACTCAGTTATACATCTCAGTTAGTATGTTGCGCTTTGACCAGTTAGTTAAGAGGGCCGTATTCAATAGTGCGGCCTACTAAATTTAAAAGTTGTTTGAATTAAAATCTTCCCCTCTATTTGAACTTGAAGTATAATAAATTGTCTTTTCATCCTTGCTTCGCGCTTGGGTGGGTCATAAGACCGTGCGAAAAAATAAAGTTCCGTTAGTTACGATACAGACCAATAAAAGGAGGTAACTGAGTTTTTTTTTTTTTGCATCGCTGGATTCAAAATGGAGGGTGGGAGATATCAATTCCAACAAACTTTTGAATTTAGCGGGAAAGTTACTGCAATTGGGTGCGCTGTTTTGACCAATGATAGCACACGTATTAACTCAATGATATAATGAAGGGTATTCATTCTAGCATTTGTGCGGCACACAATCTGAAAAAAACGGGAAGTAAAACTGATCTAAAGGCGTGCATCTTCTCCACCGACGGGAAACCACTTTTCCAGATATCTCAAACTGGAAACATTACTCAGCAACTCAACGAAAAGTTATACCAATGAAATCGTCACCGACTGACTCCGTAATGAATCCGCTCTCACTTTCCGTGGCTTCATGAGGTGTAATTTAAGGGAGTCGCTGTAGAGGGGGAGGGTAGGGTGATTCTGGGTGATGTATGACTAACTTCCTTCAAGATAAAAAATTATGATTAATTAGGATGATAAGACAAATCTGCCAAATGTTTTGTGTAGGCCATTACACGTGAAATGTGATGTTTGAATTTTAATTTTGTGCTTGCAGATTTTCCAAGCGAATTCAGACTTGAACACCGTGGTACAGCATACACTGAATAACCCAGTCCACGCAAGGTTCGTTCGTTTTTATCCCGTCACCTTTGATAATTTCCCTTGTATGAGGGTTGAGGTGTTTGCGCAGTGAATACAGAATCATCTCGAGTGATTTTTTTTTCTGGAATAAAATTACCGTTTCCACGAGCTCTGCAATACATTTGTTTCATCTTCTTTGGTTCATTAGCGAGTAGTTAAGTCTTGGGTGCTTATAAGATGAGTAAAGTCTTGTCTTTTAAGTACTAAGATTATTCCTTGTTTTGAAAACTAGTTTAAAAAGATCATAAAAGGATAGATAGTTAACGTCGACGTATGATTCTTTAATATATTAGATGCACCAGGACCATCCAAAAAAAGTGAAAATTTTGTGCTACAGTCGAACCTCGGTTATACGGACTCGTTAAGGCTGGCCTAAATACTCTGAATAATCGTGAGGCAGATGATCGAAAATACGAATATTCATGACAAATATAAAACTAAGTAGGTATCCCTTTCATGGGATTCACATGTCCATACCATCATCGCAAAAGCCAACAAGCTACTTGGGCTTCTAAAGCGTACATGCCCTTTTCTGACCGATGTTTCAGTCAGGCGGTCCCTCTATCTGGCTTTGGTAAAGTCACAACTGTGCTATGCAACGCAAGTGTGGTCCCCAGCCCAATTCAGTCTCAAAAGTCAGCTTGAAAGAGTACAAAGACGTGCAACAAGATGGATTCTAGGCACCAGAATTGGGGAAATGAGCTACCGAGACCGGCTTATCAAGCTGAATTTGCTCCCTCTCGCCTACGACCGCGAACTTAAGGACCTTGTGTTTCTTTACAAATGTCTGAATAACTACACGGATCTAAACATCCTTAACTTTGTTTCTTTTATTTCCCACGGCCGCACCAGACGAAGTAATTCCTTCAATCTCACAACACCTTCGTGTAAAACAAGTACCTTTCAGGCCTCCTATTTCAACCGAACTGTTAAACTCTGGAACTCTGTATGTACGTTATCACCCCCGTCCAAGTTTTCTAACCCGACCGCCTTTCAAACTTTTGTAGCTAAACACATGTTCTCTCTTGTCCGTTCAGTTTTTGATGTTAATAGTCCGTGCACGTGGTCAATTGTTAGGTCGTGTCCCTGTCATTGATTTTTAGTTATCTAGCACTTTTTCACCGTAGGTTTTTACATTTTTCATTTTTTTTTTTTTTTTGGGTAGTGCCCCGCATGGGACTCCATGTCCCGTTCGCACTGACCCTTTTGGCGTATGTCTATCCATTTTTTGTCTCTTTCCTTGTATACGTATTCATTTTGAGCTTGTAGACGTACCCAATAAAGTTGTTAAATAAATAAATAAATAAATAAATAAGTATCATGTATTCAATACATATTAAACAAGAATAAAAGTACATTCCAAATCATTTAGTATCTTTGTTTAAATTTGCCAAAAGCATATACAAGAATAATGATATAAAATGCTGAAATGAATCAAGTTTTTCCTAGCTGCTACAGCATGTGCACGTCGCTAATTCTAACATTCCGCTGGGGCTTAGTAATTTCATTGATAAGACGTGTGATTTAATACATCGCGAGCTCCGCCTTTTTGGTTTGGCTTTAACTGCATCTCTCGTCAATATGCCCAAAGAATACTAACAAAACACGTCTCCAAAGCTCAGACCGAGAATCGCTGTTAAAACAGCTCCAATTATATTGGGTTTTATGAAGGCTATTTACAGATTTTTATCAACACTCCTACTTTACCTTCTTTCCTAATCATATCCCATTAATAGTCTTGCAACTAAGATGTTATCTCGTAGAATACCTCCAGATTAGTCGGGGTAAATAATTCACTCCCTGAGAAGAATACGCACTTGGTGAACGAAATGTAACCAGTAGGGACGCCGTAAGTAGAGCCGCATGTGGTGAAGGAATTTTGAATGTTGCCAGCGTTGTTTCGTAGTTGGATGTCATGTCGCCCTTGATAACCCCCAAATGTTGGTCCATAACTACTGCAGCGGTAGATTGCATACCCTTGATACCGGTATTGAGCTAGTTTAACAGGTTTGTAACCATGCACGTTGTAAAGCGAGAAAATGAAGGCTTTGGCAGCCGATGTGTACCCACAAGAACCTGCAGCCAGAGAAATTTGTTAAAGGAAAGCTTAGTGAAGTGAGATGATAGACAATGTCTCCTGAGGGTCTTTACAGTTTACTCATAGAGCGAGAGTCTTCCTCCCCAACCCCCTCCGTCTTTGCCAGGGGTGTTAACCTTGGTCATAACATCTTTCTGAACAGTAGATAACTAACAACCTAGTTTGTTTTTATCTTGAAATGGATAAAACCGTGGTTTTTTTCGTCATGACTTCGAGATTAATTTTTCAAAGATTGTTTGTTGTACAACTCTTTTATTTTAAACTGTGTATAATTTTCCTCTGTTTGCAGCAGCCCATTAAGGAGTGCTTTGGGTCTTTAAAGATTTTCAATCTTAGTTCTTGTAGCTGCTTCAATCGAATAGGGAAATCTCTTCGCCATAAGATTTTGTAACGGAGAGACAATTACTTTAGCTTCCACCAAAGCTGCCGAATGCTTCAAATTTTTAATTTTCTAAGCTCTACTTTTCCTTGTCAGGCCTCGTCTTGACCTTTTGTTTTCGGACTCCATCCCCTGCCATCCGCCATTTTCAGCTTTTTAAAGGATTTAGGTTGATTAAATGAGTTTGCTTTTTACAAAAAAAAACATTTCTGATTCCATCAATATTCGACACTACGTGACTATGCCGGCCGTCCCACTAGTGCTATAAACTGAGGAAAACTACATACCTCTCACAACACCTATTTCGTTATTGGCAGCAAACAGTAAGCCGTTCGTAAACATTTTTTTACGCGTGTTGCAAAATACTTGAAGGATAATAAAAACAAAAGCATCTATTTTGGCGCGAAAATATGCACGGATATCTGTCCATGGACACTATCTGTTTTTTTTCACAGTGGAGAGGGACAGGGAGGCGGGAACCCAGGAGAACAAGGGGTGGGAGAGGACGGGAAGCAGGAGAACAAGGGGCGGGAAGCGGGGATCTATATGAGGGTGGGAGGCGAGAGCAGAAATAAAGAAGGCAATAGTTTGTTGTTTATTACTGGGCATCATTCAGTTAAAAACACTTATCTAGCAAAGTTTTAAAATTCCCATTTAACATCCACCAATGCTTAAAAGAAAATTTTGGGAGCAAGACTCGGGTTGGAAAAACAGCATTACTTCTGGTGAATTTGGAAATCCCTTCAATTCGATTACGTCAGAGGTCATGAGATAGCATGCCACTTGACACATGTGCCATGCTATCTCATATCTATTCAGAAAATGAACAAGAATATTAAGTTTTGGTACAGTTTGAAAGTTAACCCGGGTTTCTGATCCTCTTCATTCACCTGAAGACGGGAGTAACACAATGAAGGGTGGGAGTCGGGAGGCAAAGGGGCTCAAAAGTACGGGAGGCGGGAGAACATGGTACGGGAAACGGGAGACTCTACCCCACTGCCCCCCCACCTAACAGCTTTCTCGAGTTTCGCTTTAAGGAAAATGTGAGCATCTTAGAACAGATAATGTCGGCGGTCAAATATCCGTGCGTATTTCCGCACCAAATAGAGAACTTTGTTCATCTAGCCACCTCCTCTTTGGTGAATAGTTAACAACTGACTAAAAATTCATACTTTGCCAAGACACGTCGGTATATCCACCAAATGTGTAGTTACCGACTTGAATAATGGAAACAGTGGGTCCCTTTCCATCACATTTCGAATGGAATGTTGTTGAATCCCAGCCATCTGTCTTGGCGTGATAACATCTAACGAATCTACTCGAGGAAAGGTTAGTCAGGACTGATTCTAGGTAAGACGAAAGAGTGCCAATGTAGTATTTTGGTGAGTTGTTCAGAATGCTCGATGATGCGAGGCCACCTGTTGGTGAAACACCACGTTATAATCTGACGGCACTAAATCTAAATAGTAATTATCCTCCCTGCAATGTAGTTATAGGGGGTGGACAAAAGTCCTTTCCCGCATCTTTTAACGCCTAGAAATTAAATTAAGCTGTACATATTTGAGTAGCTAAGACTTATAAGGCCGGTCGTTTACACGAGATCTAACCCAAACCACGGTTTTATGCAATCAGTGGGCGTAAGGCTTTCCCTATAAGAGGGTTGATTCTATTAAATGAATGTCCTTCCACTCTTAGCTCTCGGCCCTTTCAACACTGTTCACAAGTAAAAACGTTCCGATAAAAGGTTCAGCGAAGTTTAGGATTGATTAGGATGCGGTTCTGTTGAACAACGACTTTTTTTAAATAACCGGCCCCCATGGACGTATTTTGATCTTAAGTGGGACGAATATGAAATATCGAACATTCTCTACGAACGCATTAATTTCAAACCCCTCCAAGCATCTCGTTGGTCATTCCCCTAATCTATGAATAACTTTGCTGCTATCTTTCTCATTTGACCTATCAGACGAGATTTAACTAATTTGCGGAAGGCTAAGTGAGAAATTGAACGAAAGCTTTAACAAAAAAGGTAAGAAGATCGAGGGTTCATGTCTTTGTGTTGTGCTTAATATATCATTTTGTACCAGAACAATTGGGAAATCGATGGTTCATGTTCACTTGAATTCACTGCTGTTCTAGGCGATACTTACGGTCACTTGTGCAAATATATGAACCCACTGTATTGCTGCAGTAGCTATTGGCCTCACAATAGTACAAGTCGTATTCACACTCATCAACATCTAGAAAGAGGTGAATGTTTTTTAAAAACGCGGAAAATAATTAAAATAGGTATTTTTTTTTTTACTTGTTCTTCAACCATGTTGTACCCGTATATCGTATCGCTCTTAGTTGCTCTTAATTGTATAGCCGAGATAAAACCAAAGATATAAAAGGAAAAAGTGTAACGTCCCGTTACCGTCAAATGTCACTTTTTTTTGGTTTATAAATAAGGCGAAAAAGAAAAAAATTCTTGATGATATTTTGAAGATAATCATAAGATACCAAATATCCCATGGTATTGGACGAAGCACGTACCAGTCATGTTATGTCAATAATACTCAGTACAGATATCTCAGTTAGTATCTGCGCTATGATTATTCAAGGACGTGGGCCGTATTCCTCAGTAAGTATTGCTAATTAAAAAGGTATTTGAATTCCCCGCTTAGTTGCTTTTATTTTATAGCCGAGGTAAAACCGAATGTACGAAAAGGATGGAGAAGTGTGACGTCATGTTACAGTAGAAAGCGGAAACCCCGCCATTCACTAATTCTATCCCTTTTTTCAAATGCACGCATACTCAATGCATTCAAAGACGAGTCCATGCTCTCGGTTTTCACCGGGGGCGAAGTCTTAGTGCTACATGATATATATCTTAAAAACAAATAACAAAAACAACAGAAAACAGTTAAAATATGTTATGTCTTATCAAGTCTCTAAAGTTTGCCTGTTCAAGTATTAGACTCTCTGAAGTTTGACAAATTTAGTCAAACAAAATTCTCGTAGTTCTAGATGAATAAATTTCTCCTTTTCCCTCGAAAAGTTCAGGTGGCCACAAAGTTTCCTCTTCGAAATTATTGTTTTTCATTTCGTTGTGGTAGATAGGAGACTTTGAATAAATTAAGCTTTAGTTTAGCCAGTCTAGGTTTTAAAAAGATTTGAAATCAGAGGCTTATATAAACTATAAGTTACCTTCCGTTTTCATGTCACAGTAGGCGAATGTTGCCGTGTCCGTCCAGGGATTATAATACCAGTATTTGCCGCTAACTGTTTGCTCTCCTTCACTCAACTTGATTTCCCTACAGTTTTTAGCAGGAAGTTCAGGAATAGAGCCAAGAGCAGCTGTGTAGAAATGATGAAATAAAATAAGATAAAATGAAAGGAGGTAATTTTGCTAAAAAGTATGTGGTGAAGCTCATCCAAGAGAGATGGTTTTTAAACTTTACTTTCCATAGGGGAACTTGCATCGTAAGACGAGCAAGTAGACTACATTTTTATCGTGTATTTTTAGTTGTCCGGAGTAATTTTCATTGGTCTGTCAGGCAGGAATTTATTCAGCTGATGACACACTTTTTGATACTCATGGTTATCTTAATATTTTATCATTGAATATCCATGGTCGTCAGCTGATATTCCTTCGCTCTCCATTGCTCTTTTTTTCAATATGGGGGACAAACATCAGCGTCATATCAAGTTCAAGGGTTATGTCAGGGTGTGTTATTGTCCTGGGTTATTACTTTTTACTCAGGTTATAACTTTTTATTGAAAACTGGATCATTGAGGTAAATGCGTTTTCACTGGCTTAGCCATCAAGGGTTATGAACCTTTATACCATAATTTGTACATTGTGACTTTGTGTTCATTTTCGAAAAATAAATCTGGCAAGATTTATCTATACTTGGGATGTTTAGCTAATGAAACAGTTATTCCACCCACGTTTGTTGGATATGAAATAATTACAGACTGTACGGCTCTAACGGCGTCGCTGGCTATCTTTGATCTCATATCCAACAGGCGTGAGTGGGATAATTGTTTATTATGAAAGGGAGGTTTTACCTTATAACCTGTATTAGTCGCGCCTCACAGGAGTCAACAATATGGTACTTGCGTGACACTAAAGTGTTTGAAATTACCTCTATTTTTTGATTTTTCATAATAGTATCGTTCAGAACTCGGCAAAAAGTCTGCAGGTCTGGCTTTCTTCGTACGATCATTCAACTCGCATGTATTTTTTGAAATGACGTAATTAAAGCTTTGACATCTAACGTCACCCTCACAAGCCTGGGAACACTCAAACGGGAGTGCCGTCTGTAGGGTTTTGAAGATGTTTCCACGCAGCATATAGCCATAAACAGAGTTATCGCCGCTACACGTCTGAGATGCTATTCTAGAAAATTGATCGGCCAGCCACAAGATCACGAACACTGTTTGTAACTTTGTGAAAACCTGCATCTTGGTATGTGTAACCTGGAAACAAAAAAAATTACTCTCCAGCGAACAGCGACAGTTGATTTATAAAGAAGTTTAACTGAGAAAGGCTTTGATTATGAAATAAATTTTACAAAGAAGAAAGTTTGATAATAAAACAAAAAACAAAACAAAACAAAATAAAAAAAAAAGTACGGCAGACTCAAACGATTTGCACCCTAAAATGGATTGTATGCATCGCATTCAATAAGTTCTGGCATTTTCTTATGCTTGTTCTGACAAGTTCTAAACATTGTTTTAAATGTCTACATAACTAGACAATCATAATGCTTACAGAAGAACAAGTCAATATAACAAAACGGGAAACTTATGATACTTGCATTGTCAACTGTAGGTATACTAACAATAAAAAATACAGTACTATAGTATTGCTTACAATACAACATAACATTGAAACATTCTTTAGAAACTTACCCCCTTCAAAATTTTCACTGTCCGTTTAAGGGCAGGATTTAGTCGCTCAAGAATCAGTTGGTGTCAATTCTACCGTCTTCGAGAAGAGCCTTATCTAAAAATAAAATTAGGAGAATAAAAACGTTGTTTGTGGTTTGATTTATTCCCTGGTGAGTTCACCAGATCTCCTGCCAGAAGTTACTATAGTAATCTAACTACAAATGCAAATACGGCGAGAGGTTCTACACGATTGGAGTACAACTTGAACGGCAATTGAAGTATCTTTTGAGAATACACCGCTCTTTCTCTCCTTTTACCGTCGTTATGACCCACGCAGGATTTTTGGAGAACACCAGAAATGTTTGTAACTCACGAGCCAAAGGCGAATGATTTATAAACTTCTCGGGTCAAAATTAACTTAAAAGAATTTTCAATTTTCTATGGATTGATGATTCAAATTCACCTTTCACTGAAAAGCATTATAGCGACGATTTCTGAAACTTGAATCATTCAAGGTTGAGTCCTGAATGTAATCTCTACTCTCTATTCTATTCTCTCTGAATTTCTACAGGAGACTAACTTGGAGTGATTAGGAGGTGAATTTTCCTAGGAGTTATTCCAAAAAATAGATTAACAGCAAAAATACTAATGTCTTTTGCCAAAGCTGCGAGTTTATTGAAGTTAGGAATCCATCAATTTGCATAAGTTTGGATGACAGGACTACTTCTGAGGAATTGTATTCCTGATCAGGAATTTTTTAAAAATTGGTTTGCTAATTTTATAATACAGATTTATTTTGAGTTCATCTGTCATGCATCGCATGGCCAGAGTTCTAAAGAACTATTTGGCTGTTCAGAATTATTTGGTTTTTGTTTCAAAATAAAGAATTCAAAAGCTTAGAGTCAATGTGCAATGTGTAAAGTTGGTCACAAATCGGACTGAGAAGAAAGAGCTATACTGCAACAGAATTATTTGGTTTTGGTTTCAAAATAAAGAATTCAAAAGCTTAAAGTCAATGTGCAATGTGTAAATGTTGTCACAAATAGCACAAAGAACTTAAAACGTTACTGCAGACAGAATTCTTTAGTTGTAGATTCAAAATTAAGTATTGAAAAGGTTGAAGACAGCCTTTACGTGTAACGTGTAATTGTTTTCACAAATTCGACATAGAGGAAAGAGCTGTAATGTCAACGGAATTCTCTAATTTTGCTTTCAAAATAAGGATTTTTAGAAGGATGAGATCAACCTTAAGGTGTAATGAGTACATTTTGGTACTGATGCGACGAAAAGGAAAAAGCTGTACGGTCAACGGAATTATTTAATTTGCTTTTAAGATAAAGTTTTTTAAAAGGTGAGGCCAAACTCGTGGTGTTATGTGTAAATTTTGGTGCAAATTGGACAAAGAAGAAAGAGCTGTAATACAAACGCAATTCAAGTTTTGGTTTCAAATTGAAGCTAACCTTAATAAGAAAATTTTGTCACACATTGGACAAAGAAGAAAAGAGCTCTGATATATATATATATATATATATATATATATATATATATGTATGTATGTATGTATGTATGTATATATTTATATTTATATTTATATTTATGTCTGAAAGTTATGTCTTATTGATTTGTCCAACTTTCAGATATGCCACGCTCTGCGAACGCATCGAGCACTATACTGCAAGGATAGACTACAATCAAGATTTATTTATATATATATATGTATATATAAAATGTAGGTTTCAAAAAGAAAAAGGAAAATTAGTTATATAAGACTTGAAGTTCTCAGACACTCATTATGAATATTTCAGGTGTCGGGAATGTTTTGGGTTCTTCGTGAATATTCTATGGCGTCACGTTTTCGTCTCAAAGAGACGAATGCGCTGGAAATTAATTTTCTCTGTGTATTGTATAAGTAAAAAACAACGTCAAACTTTCTTCAGTGCCAAGTTCATATCGCAATTCTGCTCTATTTGGACACCAAATGATGTTACACTTTATTAATGAAGAATGAATTCAAGCGATGTTTAACGTTAGAAACCAAGAAACAGTAAAAACTGCTGCTCTTAACGATTAACTATTAACACAAGGGATTGCATAATCGGTAGCATTTGCGAAACTGAAAGCGCTTAAAAATGTGCCATCAGATTTTAAAGCATCAAGAGACAGTTAAGTTTTCAATTATAAAGAAAGACCCACTCAAAAAGAAAAAAAAATTAGTGTAGGTCTTGACGAGATGTGAGCGCCACTAAGCAAACACGATTTATTTGATGACTTGAAAGTAAACGATACAGGAAGTTAATGTGGTTTGAAGCCTTCCAAGCACCCGGTTGATAATATCTAGTACATCTACGAGTACTTTTTCCATCAACTTACCCCATACGACATGTTCTTCTCTCAACGATAAGTCTCTCTCCATCGCAGTTCTCGCTTGAGTGAAATGATGTTTATCCTGTATTGCTCTTAAAATTACATCACAATCAATAATTAAAGCAAGTCACAATGGTTTTCAATACTATCCTCCGCGCAGGATCTCAACCTACGTCACTAAGACAAGGAGCAGACTAAATTAATTTACCTCTTATGTTTCGATGGAAATGTCACATACAGGATGTGATGTTTAGTCTTCTTTTCGCCACTGACAAAAAAACATTGCTTCCTAAACAATGTTATTGATAAAATACGTTAGAAATGAAGATTGTGAAAAAATGTTTGTACATAGAGAGCTCTTGTTAAGACTCTTAAAAAATTAACAGGGGGCATATTAGTTGAAATTAAAAATATAAAAAAAAGCTTAACTTTACACTTTCACGTTTTTGTACAAAAATAAATTTCAATCAACTGATTCGTGCGTTTTATGAATATCATGTGAAAATGTTCATGTGAAATTCATCACCCGCCTAAACATAGTTATGCAGAGAACGATCTAATGAACTATCTTATTGACTACACGGATAATGTGCTTGACGCCCACCCACAAACCGTCATTGTTCTGGGCGGAGATTTCAATCATTTGGACATGGATGGATTACAACAATTGTCTGGCCGGTATGCACTAGTTGATTTCCCGACGCCCGGCGATTCACACTTGGATAACTATTTAACGCACCGGCCCGATTTGTTCGCAAGGTATTATCCTCTTTACGTGTCAACAAAATCGGATCATCGAGGTGTGATTTTGCCAGCAAGATCTAAACTTTGCCCTGTGTGTCGTAAAGTTCACACCCGGGACAGACATCTACATAGGAAACAGGATTTGTTCATGGCTTAGGTTGAAGAGGACTGGCCAGAGGTACTTGATACCAAGAATGTAAACGAGGCGGTGAACAAAGTGGGGTAACCATACGGGGTCACTTGGATAGGTGTATACCAGAAACGGTAGTCACCATGTCATCACGTGACCCTGCCTGGATGACCCCTTTTGTTAAAGCCATGTTGAGGTCGAAGTCGAGGGTGTCCGATGAAGCTCGGCTGAAAGAGTTGAATAAGAGGATTTTGGATGTGATCAGTGAGAACAGAAAGCGACATAAACAGGGTGTGATCGGCTCGAGGCAATAGTGGAAAGGCGTTCATCTGGTATCGCAGCGAAGGAATGCAGCCCTTATTACCTTAGATCGTGAGTCACTTAACCAGTTAAACGAGTACTTTGGCAAAATCTATGCAGTGACAATAACTACATTCAACCAGTTGATGTTCACATTGATCCAGATGTCAAGGCTCCAACAATCCCTGCGGGAATTGTCTGGAGCACTCTGTCTAATCTGAAGAAAACGGCAACCAGCCCGGACGAAATTCCTTTTTGGTTTTTTAAAAGAACATGCGGAACTACTAACTACAGTTATCTCTTATGTGTGGAATCTTTCCCTGTCAACTCATTCCTGGCTTGAATCTTGGAAAAGAGCGAACATCAGGCCATTACATAAGGTTGACGTACCTAAGGAGAATGGTGATTTCCTGGAAATCAGTGTAACACTGGTGATTGCTAGAGCTCATGAAAGGGCTGTATACAACACACATGTCAGACTCGTCATGGAGGATCACCTGAGCAGAGGCCAATTCGCGTACAGAGTTGCGTATAAAAGCGATCTAAACACAGTACAGAACTTTTTAAACATGTTACAAGCGGCGTTATATTTCAGTTCCATTGAATGTCAAGGATATCACGCATATGCAGGATATAAGAAATTAGTGGAGCTAAGGCCCTAAGCCATCATTCGTTAAATAAAACTCTGCCGAAGCCTAAACTCCAGCAATATAATTTACGCGCAAGGTCTGCCTCCGCCCAAAGATTAACACAGAACGTTTCATGAACACATTTGTGAATAGACTAATTTTTGAACACAACCTGTTAAAATTACATTATCTAATTTTGGCCATAGTATATTATTGTAGCTATCATTACACAGTTTCTTGCTCATGTAACATAGTATATTTATCTTTTATCTCATGGTTTACTAAAGACTTCCATGACTTTAAAGAAATGGCCTCTTAGGAAATTGTGCAACAGCGTGCGTTTTTGATCTTCTTAATAAAGTAAGTACTTTTGTTGCAACTAAGATGCAAGCTCTGAAATGTTAGCATAATATACACGTTAAACAAGGGAGATCACAGTCAAGTGTAACTTTCAATCCTAGATCAGTGTTAATCGCTTTCTGAAAAACTATGTCCTCCGGATTTTTGTATATCCCATGTTTTCTTTTTCCTTAGTTTTCACTCCATTTCAAAGAGCTGAATTGTCTCTTACGCTTAAAAATATTTTTTCCAACTCCTTCAGGTGGGATCGCCAATTATTCAGTATAATTTAGGTTCATGACAGCGAGTGATAGCGCCGGCAGATGGTTGATGAGGAGCGGATTGTTTTGCAAAAAATACAGAAGTTGTTAGCCTTGATGATGATTATTGTCAATGCAGTAAGACAAACTTACACGTTCTGTCTCTCGTCCAAACTTGACTGCCGGCCAAACAGATTAATATCAATCATTAAAGCGAGTCAAAATAGATTTATTTTCAAGGGCATAAAACATAATAGAGCATGACTAGAACCATTCATTGGTCCAAACCTACCATGTTTATGTTTCTAACCCGTTCTAATCACTGAAAACTGAGAATTGTGTCTATTTACCAACATATTTTCGTTGATCCTTTTTGAAACAACCAGGGTATACATTTTTACGAAAGAATCGTAAGAAATCACCGGCTTGGGTGAACAAATATAAAGAAAATACAAAATATGTTATTTGAGCTGACAAGAGCATTCTCATGTTTACGTAAGATTAGCATACAACAAAAAATATGCAAAGTACACGCGACTTCTATCTTATGCACACATTCGGATCGGGTCAAGGGGCCTGTTCCGCGAAAGTTCCGTTAACTTAACGGACCCGTTACAATATTTTAAAATCAGAATTTTAAGATTGGTGCAGCATGTTCTGGCACTCTAACCAGTCCATTTTGTTTCTTTACCTACTATGTTTCATGTATAATTTTCACAACCATCATCTTGAATAAACATAGAACGGCTTTACAGGCCCGTTAGGTTGCCGAAACCACCGAGAAACGGCCCGTAAACTACACAGGAAGGGGTCGAAAACTTTTTAATACTTCCACAGTTAGGCCATGTCTGGCCTCTTCAAAGCATCCACCAACACTTTTACCATTCCGTTATACAAGACTAAGGAGAGTTCATGCAGAAAAATTGCACTGTTGTTGATTTTCTCATTTACTGCACGAACACTTCGATCCTCATACAAGGGTACTGAGAAAAGGTGACCGGATAAAATCGAAGGTATCTTGCTTGAACTGGGTTATTCAGTGTGTGTTTTATAATGGTATTCAAGTCTGAATTCGCTTCAAAGATCTACAATGAAAAAAAAAAAACAAACAAAAAAAAGGAGAAACCACTTAATCATAAGGGGAACTTTATTCTCAGTTAAGCTGCTTCAAAGAGATTCCCCCCTTCCCTGATACAGTTTGTTTACTAAATCTGTATTAAGATCTCATTGAATCCCTTAGCTGATGTCATTGGACGAAAAACCAAAATTCTGGTTACGTAAGTGTTGACGAAACCTTTGTTTCCTTTGCGGAAACGTAACGGCTAACAAGTGTTTCCATAGACAGACATATTTCAGTCGCTGTGGACACAGCAGAACCGGACCACCTTTCCACATGTTTTTGATGGAGAAGAGGACAAGATCTGTTATCACTTTGAGAAAACGGAAAAACTCAAAATTTTAGAGAAAACCGAGATTATCCTTTATCCTGAAGATTATTTATTATTCTTACATCAATTTTAACTATTCCCAACCGGTAAATCCTCCCTCAGCCTGCGCATGCACACAGAAAATACCTGACCGTCACGTTTCATACCTTTTCGACGTTTTGCTCTTTATATGCAGTCCAACTGGAACCATCAGTAGAAAAGGAGAGCCTGTAGCTTTTTATAAACGATCCGTTTGCCTTTCCTTGCGTAGCGACTCCGCATACTGTGCGTCCTGCTCCAATATCAACCTGTATATAGTCATCGGTGATTCTAGAAGACTGCTGACACCAACCGCTGTCTCCATTGAGCCGTCCTTTGTGTGGATAATAGCTGAGATAATTGGAACTCGCAGTGATTTGGACGTCAGGTATGATGTTTGGATCTTCTACTCCTAAAGCCTCGCAAGATAGTACAGCTGCAAGAAATGTAAGTTCGTAACCATTTTGATATTATCTCAACACGTGCGTTGCACTGGTTATCAGATCTTTAACAGATTCTTCGTACGCCACGGTATTTTCTTTTGCGGTTTCCTAATAATTGCTACTTTAAGTGTAACATCGGTTTTTCAAACAAATGCAGGTACCTCTCACCTCTGATAGTGGTCCGCACACCAAGCTACGGACTTCGTTTTTCTGCTCGTATTTATGGTCCAAGCACGAAGAGGGTCATAAATCCGAGCAGAAAAAACAAGGTTCCGCACTACACCACTGACCGAGATATTTACCATGAGACAACGCGATAAATAAAGAATGATACATATCTACAAGCAACCATGTCTTACTTTGTTTATCATGTAAACACGATGGCCCTTAAGTGTCAAGAAAAGTCAACTTAATTAATGAATTGAAATAAAAGGATCGACAATCCCCAAGTAAAAGTAGTAAACTGCGTTAGGGTCAAGGCTACAAATGAAAAAAATACGTTCAAACATTCCAAAACATAGAAAATCCTCAGTGATTGACTTGGTTGTTACCGACAGAAGAAACCTTTCAAGTTCACGGCCAAAATCGGTCTGTGGCAAATTTATCGGTGGTCGGTTTTCGTTCTCAGCCGTGATAAATACCAAAAGCCACTTAATACATAACTTTTTTCAATTAATCACTGTATCAGGAAAGTTTGAAAGTTACTCTCTGTAAGCGATACGGATTTTTCAGTGTTTTAGCAGCCATAATCCAAAACAAAAAGAATTCCGACAAACTACCTTGGATTGAGAATGGTGAAGGCTTTAGCCCTCGTTCATTCAACCTAACCGAGTCGCGCGAAGGGCGAGTAACGTGTCAGCAGCCGATTGGCGATATCAAACACACGTGAAAAAATACAACATCTTTTCACGTGTGTTTTTACAACTTCTCCTGAGGCTGAAAATCCTTCTATAACACCGTAGTTTATGTGATAAGTAAGATAATTCCTATAACTTTGGGCCCAAATAGAGGGGGAAAATTTCAATTAAAAAAAACTTGTTCAAGTTAAGGGTATCTACTGTGATTTACGGCCTGCTAAGTTTATCGACCAAGGCGTACGTACCAACCAAATTCACTTACTAACTGAGATTCATTGTCTTCCTTGCTCTTTTGTCTTTACGTTCTCTATTTTGTTTTACGAAAACTGTCTTGTGCACCTAGGACGAGTCCTATTTTGTCTTTAATACTCAACACAAAGTGTTGATAACTGGGCACGCTGGCCAGCCAAGCCACTATACCGTTTATTCACCACCAATATGCCTACTTTTGAAGGAAATTAAATGCACCAAAAGGACACGAAAACCAGTGAAAACTAAAGAGATTTGGGGAGTTTAAGGGTTAACACGGCGAAAGCTGACCGTAAAATACCTCGCCCTACTACCGACCTCAAATTACAAACTACGATCCTATAGCCTTCCTCGGACCTCGCACCCGCCTCCAATCCTTAATACGTGCCGGAAAAATATTAATTTTTTTCAAATCACGTCTACTACAAATTACATTTTGCGTCAAGTTTCGCATGGTGCTGTACGGTGTATGATCAGCTTTAATGCCCTTTCGGCTAAATTCGTCCATTTATATCAATATAAAATTTTAAAGAATAAACTGACTGTACACCCTCTTACCAGTGCAAGTTGTCCCATCTGCAATAACTCCAGGTTTACAAGCACAAATATATGAGTCAGGGGTATTCTGGCAAATGGCATTCGTGTCACAGACAGGTAACGAGGCCTTGCATTCATCAGCATCTAACAAAAAATGATTGTATATACTGTACATATTAGAAATTAATTGACAATGGGCCCTGTGAATGTTTACGTAAAAATACCCACTCATACCTTCAAACCTCGCTTTCACGGTCTACACTCAAGATTCTGAATGCGACACTACTGAAATCAAAGGTTTTCCACATGAAAACAACCAGATGGAGTTAAAGTTCCCGACAAATATAATGCCAAGTAGGCTTGGACCGATATTTTTCAGTAAATAACATCATCGTGCATAATAGCTATTCTATGATATTCAGCATATTATATGATGAAATATCAAATACTTCCAGGAAATAGATAAATAAATAAATAAATAGGCGGATAAATAATTCGTGAAATGAGCGAAAGAGAAAGTGACTAATTTGTCATTTAGGGTAATAAGTAAATTCAAGCGGAAACAAGGAATGAAAGATTGTGAATGATATTTTTCCCATTTGTGGTGGTTGTGAAAGGAACCAAACATTGTAGGATATTACAACTCGGCGTGGATCTTCTTTACCAAAACGATTAGTGCTTGATCAAGATTTTTTTACACTGATGTCAACAAATACTAGTAATTGAGTTTTGTTACCCGCTGTTTCCATATCGCAAGGAACAAGTACTGTCTTCCCCTCTATAATGGAATCAAGCCAGTAATTGCCACTGTTCGCTTTCCCCTCTTCGCTTGCTTTTATCTCTCGACATGTTTCTGCTGGAAATTCAGGAATGGAGCCAAGATGAACTAAGGACGGAGAATAGTTTTATCAGGTTCAAATTACTTCAATAACCGCCAGTGCTAGAGCTGCTTCTCGTTGAAACTCACCTCTTTTCTTATTACTCCTGACATAAAATCTTTCGGAATTTGGCACAAAGTTCTCTGGTCTGGCCTCCTTAGTCCGGTTGTTTAGTTCACACAGCTCCTCTGAAATGACGTAGTTGAAGCTGTGACATCTGAAATCATTGTAACATGCTTGATGGCATTCAAATGCAATCAATGATCTCACTTTCCTGAAGGTGTGTCCTCGAAGCATCATACCAGAAATGGCATGCTCACCCTCCTTGCATTGTTCAGCGAAAACCTCGTGCAAGTAGCACAGTACAATAACAATGTAGAATCGCATCGACATTAGATTTGGCTCGTCCTTTTCTGTAAGAGAAGTTTCATAGACTGACATTTGGGTGATTTGGGTGGGAGAACAAGCTATAATGCGAAAGGTTTTCAATCATGGTTGAAAATGCACCAGAAATTTAAGAGAAAAGGAAGAAAAATATAACAATCAAAGTGGGAATAGACATTGACACTTGAGATGCCGTTTGGACGACAGTTTTGTTCGTTGTAAATCCTGGTAACCTAAAGAACTTACTTTTTTATCGTACGATCCATGCTCTTTGCGTTTTTGAAACATTCATTATAACTTTTGAAGTGCAATATTTCTTTCCTTTAAAAAGTATTTCTGCACGCTATAGGAGAGCGACTATCTGGAAACTTTGATTTAAGTGACGGGATTATTTTTAACTTTTTTTTACGATTAACAGTTAAAATTTGTCAAGTTTTACGCCTAACGGTTTAATTATATGGCCGTTTTACGGCTAACGGCTATCCAGCAACCCCATGGAGACACTCCACCACCCTAAACTGGTGTCAAACATAATTTTGTTTTCGCAGATAAAAACATTTTTTAAAATCGTAAAACATATTTCAGCGGAATACTGTTGTCTTTTGTTGACGTATTGTTTCATCCAAGGTCAATTTTTATAATTAACTTACACAATTCTGTAAAAGAGAATAAATCGAAAACAAAATAAAATTTGACTGTCTCATCCATTAGGAGGACGCGCTGATACAATTTTGGGACTTTTTCACAATCTTAAACAAAAAAAATTTAAATATGGCAACTTAGAAAATCAGATAAGTTCTGCAAGCAATTTTAGAGTTTAAATGCTTCAGAATTCTATTTACATATTTTTGTCTCTTGTAAAGGAGTTGTGTAAAGCTCATTAATCATTAAGCAGCAAGCACAGTCTTCAAACACCTTTATGTCTATTCACGCTCAACCAAAAAGCAGCTGTTAGATTAGGGAAATGATTAAGAAGACTTGACTTGATAAACATAGAGTTTTCGCAGTTCTAAGTCAAAAGTGATTTATAGAAATAAGTTATAGCGAAGGAAATACAAGACATGTTCATTAGCGCTTTTAATGGGTGATATCATCGTCCCAAATTAAACCCTTGTGATAACTGACTCAAATATCGATGGCTACGGCTTATTTTGATGTTGGGACAACATGCCGCTTATCAAGCCGTAAATGAAACAGTGTCAGTATGTGGTCGCCGGGAAACAAGAACTAAATCAAAGTTGGAGCCGTGAACTATTTAAATTTTTCTTTTCCATCTTACTGAAAAATTTCTCGTTTGAGCAGAACAAAGATATCGAAAAACAACAGACTTGAGACACCTTTGTCTTTTGCAAGAATTACAATGTACAGTTTCATTTCAGTTTCAAAATTCGTACGCGCGCTAGTTTCACTAAAACCCCAGCAAACTACAAATCAGAAGAAAGCTTAATTACTGCAGTTTGGAAGGAAGTGTTAGGAGCCTGTAAGGTGTTAAACGACTGAGGGTTCTTCTGTTAAATTTATCAGTTATCGGATGCGGCAACAAAAGCTAATATATTCTATAAATTCGTTCAAAGTGGTTGTATTCCCGCCAAATTAAATGCGAGATTTTAGCTCATAAAGGTTCGTAAACAACAGGCGCCACGCCTGGGGATTATCTCGCCTCCTGAAACCGCAAACTAATGGAACAACGGGACAACGGAACCTCCTCCTTTCCTTTCCGTAATGGTACTCAAAGTCACGACTATAAATGAGGGAAACTCGAAATTCTCTCAACCGATATATATATATATATATATATATATATATATATATATATATAGTGGGAATAATAGACATTGGAACAGAGCTAGAAAAAATATAATGAAATAAATAAAATATTTAGCTGTACTGTCTTGAAACTAAATATTCAAAAGGTGTGAATTTGAACTTTGCATACCTTGTATCAACCTCGTTTCCTATCCAAGTAATGTGATACCCTCTTTAGTAGAAACTTTCAATAATTTCGTCCAGGAGAGAAATCAACAGCAAGATAATTATTATATTGGTATAATCTAACCGAGAGAAAAACACTACAATCCTACAAACTCAACTACTTCATTAAATAACGAGTGGTATTCTCAATTGGGAGCGACTCCTAAAGGCAGTACAGTACTTATGCTCGATAAACTGACTTCAGCCCATCTCAGTCTAAATCTTAGCACACCACTGAGCGAAACTCACAGTTTTCTTCAACGTTTCTTTTCGGTAGCGATCTTCCAATGCAGCTTTCTCACACGGTATAGTTTTCTTAAAAGACGGCCACTCCCGAAAACAACAACAACAAAACTGAGAAGCTTACAAAAGAATTAGTATTATTACGCATACTAATAACTGCGTGACTTGATTAAATATTCTAGAAAGTTCTGTGGTACGCATGTCAGCATGACTCAGCAGTCTGGAGACTTTTAGAAGCCTATATTTACAACAATCAATTACTTATAACACTGTTCAGTGTGTTCTAACTTGTGCTAAATTTCAATGGGAAACACAACGTCTTGTTTAATTATTCAATTCTAATTTCTCCTGTATTTGAATAGTTTTCACTTTACGTTTTGGAGTTATCTTCAATTTCATTTTAAAGCTGTGCCATTGTCGAGGTTTTGAACACAGAAAACGGTTAGCATCACAAAATAGGTGGAATTCTGGGAGAAAGAATGGTTAATCAGCAAGTCTCAAACAGATTCTTTAGTCAGATTCTCTGGGCGATATAAATCCATATTCTGTTGATCAATGTAGGAAAATAAAGCTTAAAGAGCCCCTTCTCAACATATTTGATATACAGAATCCCTGTGACTTTGAAGAATATTTACAGCTTTCAGGTCAAGTTCAGTTCTTTAAAATACCTCACAAAGCACAGCGGGTCAGCAATAAGTTGGAGCCTTTGATAATTACTTCTACAAAACAGTATTGTTTACCCAAATAAAGTTTCATCTAAATGATTAATATGCCACTGACACAGATCCATGTCCAACTAGCAGATTTCAAACGCTGAGGTGGGAGAATTAAATAATATCAGTCCATCTCGATCATCGATACGCAAGTCGACCAAGTTACCGAGATGTTTGCAACGATACAAAATATTGAGATATTCATTCAATTAACCATGGTTTTTATTCTGTTTACACCTTCCATGCAGTTTGTTTATTTATACTTATTATGATTTTAATGATACTCTTAACAAAATGCGAGTACCAACCTTCTCCCACGAAAAAATTTTGGAAGGAACTAGAGTGCTCGCAAATTTAGAGTTCCTAGTTGTCAGTAGAAAACGGCGGGGAGATAAAACGGTGACATGATGCAAGTTAGGGAAGCGGGGTCTAGAGTAAGAGTGCGTTAAGAAGTGTTAACAGCTTATTATTTCGTGAAAAGAATAAACCATTAACCAATTGTTCTTAAATTCACTAATCTGTCCTGCCTTAAAGGGTAACTGACGGCTAAAAGGTCACTTTTTCTGAATACCGTCTAAATGCCTCAAGTAACACATTGAATAGATGTGCTTCGAATATCTCTTTGTGCCTTTATTCGTCGGGAAACTGTCCTAAATGCAGCTTGGTGAGTCATCCGCCGTAAAAGCTTCGATTTTGATTATGTGACCTTATAGGTCACACGTGGGAATATTAAGCAAAGCAAATAAGTCGGATAGTAGTTCGAGTGTGATCAGTGCTATTCCGGGGTCTGATTATTTGGATTTTGATGCCTAGATGGAAGGTGAACATAATGAAAGGGTTTATGAACCTGTTGGTGAAGTCAGGCCCTGACAAATTGAACCGCCAGGGAGAACCTAAAATAGAGCGCTAGAGTCAGAAGAGGAGTCGCGGCCGTCTCATTTAAGAAAGCGAGAATGGCGCCAGGGAGAACCTAAAATAGAGCGCTAGAGTCAGAAGAGGAGTCGCGGCCGTCTCATTTAAGAAAGCGAGAATGGCGAGTGCATTTGCGCTTGTTACAAAAGTATCTGAAAATCAGTCGGTTATTAAATTTAGGAGCGATCAAATAAAGAAAACCAAATATGCAGACTCTTGAATACCATGGGAACGAAGTGTTTTTATGCTACACGCACGCACCTCCCGAAGCCAAAGTTTCACTAACTGAAAATATAAACATACACGCTTTTGGGGGTGAATTAAATGGATTGCACACGTTTCCACGGGATTGAACCGGTTTTAAGTTTTCCTGTGCTGAATTTGGCGAACGATTAAAGATTTTTCGGCTTTTACTTAAAAACAAGATGCAGCAAAAGAATAGCATTCGCACATGTAGAATTGAACATAATTTATTGTTTACTTGTGGTCTTTGCACCTTGTTTATGACCTTGAGTTTGTGATAGTTACAGAGCTGATAACTGTTCCTCTAAGTGAAACCAATCATACAAGTTGTGCTCTCTATTTCTTCTATTCAAAATCGTGTTTCTGTTATTAGTCACTTCCATTGGAAATTAATTAAACTTAGGTACACGAATGTGCTATATATGCGGATCAATGTTGGTTGTATTCATCAACCTGGAGAACTCTCAGCTAGAGACGAAACGCGTTGAAAGAAATAAACAAAAAGTTACAACAGCAAGAAGTCTTCCCCTGTGATGAACACTAGTCTCCGTTAAAAAGAATTAAAAGAAGGATAAATCTTGTACATTTCCGGAACGTGAAAGAAGAGTTTCATTCACGAAACCAGATGACGAACTCTCATAATACGCAACAATACTTCGCGCGTAGTCACGGTCACTCTAGAACTGATGGGCCTGAGGTCACAATGATATACACCGGACTGTCGGGAAAGAAATAGGTGATACTTAACTTGATTATTCTGTGATCAAATATTAATTAGTGACTGACATTTGTAGCGCAATGAAGTTAGATTTCGTGACATTAGATTTCACAATAATGTAGACAAAGTCCGAGTATATTTACGATATAAAATGATGTAACTGCATGCATTTTCTTAGGCTAAATAAAGTGAAAGAACGTGCGATTTTG